GGGCAGTGGACTACTTGACACTATAGTAAACAATATTTACAAAGAAACACCACCAACAACTTTTTATTCATTTGCAAGTTTTTCAACAATCACCAAAATTTTAACTATAATAAGAGAATATGAAAATGACTAATCTTGACAGAAATTGGGAGGTGGAGGAATAGGAGAACATGAGGCAAGTAGGAACACTGATGTCAACTTACAGAGCAAGACATGAATAGACTGTCTATAGTTGATGGCACAAGACAAAAGGTAAGACCCCAAGTTACAAGACCCCAAGTTGCTATCACTGGAAGAATGACACATGTCAGAACTTTTAATTTGAATCACATGAAACTGTTGTTTTTTAGGTCAAAAAGATTGAACATCAGAAATGTCAGATGGTTCAATCTAATACATGAACAGAAATATATAACATCAGTAAATTAAATTTAACTACAAAAGAATTTTTAAAACCAATTTTTAAAAGGACAAACCAAAAGTTAAATAATAAGAGACTGAGGATGGTTGTCTGTGTATTCAACAGGTAGTTAAGATACTAAAATCTATGTCCCGTTTGAAAAGAGAAGAGAAAGACTGAATACTTAAAAAATTGTTGAGAAATTTTATAATTAAGTAAGCATTTTTTAAAAAAAGATAACTACTAAAAAGAATTAAAAGAATAAGAGAGAATGATATAAACTTTTTTGACCCACCAAAGGGCATGAAAGGAGAGAGGGAATAGCAAAGACAGACAATGGAAAATAGAAAACACAAAACAGCTTTACAGTAACAATATATCAGTAAGCTAAAATAAATTGAACAGATCAGTTTCAATGATTACAGAAGGATGTTAGCTAAAGAAAATTTAGAAAAATCCAACTATATGTTCTTAACAAAAGTTACACCTAAAGTAAAACTAAAGAGAAAAGGTGAAAATAAAGAATGGAAAAATGTATACCATAGAGATGCTAATCAAAAGAAAGCTGAGTGGCTACTAAAAAAAATCACATACACAGATGTTTATTAAAAAAAAAAAAAACATTACAGGGCTAAAAACTGACACTATATAATTATAAAAGGTCAAATTCACCATGAAAACATAATAATCTTAAAATTCTGTTTAAATAACAATATAATATACATTATATTATTTATATATTAATATATATGATTGATAGAATTATAATGAGAAATTGACAAATTCACAATCGAACTCTTTTCAGCAAATTGTGACAAGCAAACCAAAAAATTAGTAAGTTTACATAAGCCTTAACAACACAATTAAACAAGCTATACTCAATGGATGTATAACCTCCTGAGCTCAATTTAGAAGAAAATATATAAATTATTTTCTCAAGCACACATAGAACATTTACGAAATGACTGTGTACTGGACCGTAAAACAAGTCTTGAAAATGTTCAAAGAATTGGGATCATAGAGACCACAACTGAGTTAGAAATCAATAATAGAAAGGTAAAATAATAATAATAATGCATTTGAAATAAAAAGTGCACTGCTAAGTAATTTGTAATTTTAAAAAATCAAAGGAAATGTGAAAATACCGAACTGAACAATTACAGAGAATTAACATTAACAAAAATACCACATCTTAAAACTTTGGAACTACTGCCAAAGCAGTACCTGGGGGAAATATACAGCCTAAAAAAGAGGAAAATAAGAAAATTAATGAACAAAGTATCTGACCTACGAAGTCATGAGTAAAAACCAACTAAATAGACTCAAAGACAATAGACAAAGAAAATAATGAAGATAAAAGCTGACAGTGAATGAAACAGAAAACAATGATGGAATAGAGAAGTACAACAAAGCCCAAAGTTCGACCTTAGTAAAATAGAAAAAAAAAGCAAGACCAAGAAAAAATACAGATGCATGTAAACAATATTAAAGATGAAAAACAGGGACAACTACAGACATAGCATAGAATTTAAAGCAAAATAGCAATACTATGAGAAATGTAGGGCTAATAAATGTGAAAACTTAGAGGAAAAAATGAACAATTTTCTGAAAAATATATAATGTAACAAAAGTGAGGGAGTAGAAAAATTGAATGGATCTACAACCACTGAAAATAAAAATTATTTATTTATTTATTTTTGAGACAGAGTCTCACTTTGTTGCCCAGGCTAGAGTGAGTGCCCTGGCATCAGCCTAGCTCACAGCAACCTCAAACTCCTGGGCTCAAGAGATCCTACTTCCTCAGCCTCCCTAGTAGCTGGGACTACAGGCATGTGCCACCATGCCTGGCTGATTTTTTCTATATATATTAGTTGGCCAATTAATTTCATTCTATTTATAGTAGAGACGGGGTCTCGCTCTTGCTCAGGCTGGTTTCGAACTTCTGATCTTGAGCAATCCGCCTGCCTCGGCCTCACAGAGTGCTAGGATTACAGGCATGAGCCACCTTGCCTGGCCAAAATCAAAAATTAAATGAGCAGTTAAAAATAAACACACACACACAACTCACACATACTGGGGTAGCCAGACTCCAAAATGAGTCCCAGGCACCCTCGCCTCTACTCCCGGTATTCACACTATTGTGTGGTACCGCCCACATTGAATTGGGTGACCTGTGAAAACCAGTAGGATATTATAGACACGATGAAATATGATTTTTGAGACTAGACCACAAAAGATGTGGGCTTCTGCTTTGATCTCTCTCTCTTGAATCACTTGCTCTGGGGGAAGCCAGCTGCCATATTGTAAGGTCACTCAAGCAGCCCTAAAGAGGTCCCCACGGCAAAGTTCTGAGGCCGCCTGCCATGAGCCAGCAAGGGACTGCCAACGGTGTGAGTGAGGTATTGCAGAAGCAGATCCTCCAGCCACAGTCAAGACGACTAGTGCCCCACACAAAATTTTGATGACAACCTCATGAGAGACCCTGAGCCAGATCCACTCAACTAAGCTACTTCCAAGTTCTTGACCCCCAGAAACTGTGAGATAATAAATTTATTGTTTTAAGGTATTATTTGTTTTGCAACAATATATACCTCATACACACAGAGAAAACTATATAAGGTTTCTCTAGGGTATTATTTGTTTTGCGCCAATAGATACCTCATACACACAGAGAAAACTATATAAGCATCTTAATAGATAAGACAAAAAATCGATACAAATTTAATATCTACTCATGATTTTAAAAGGCACTTAGCAAATTAGGACAGGGATGTCACATTTATTAGTGAGACATGAGAAGCAAACCATTTGCAATCAAGCTTGGTTTTCAGGATGCTCACTATCACCCTTTCTATTCAACATTATAGTTGAGGTTTTAGCCAGTGCAAATACGATGTTTTTTAAATAGAAAAATAAATAAATAATGGGTAAAAGTTTTAATAGGCAGAAGCAAATTGTTAGAATTATTGCCAGATGTAAGATAATGATGTAAAAATAAATTGTATTCTGGTAATAAACAATTAGAAACTATAATTCTTTTTTAGTGGTTGCATGGTATTTAAGTCTTTTTGTATTTCAGCATATTATGGGGGTACAAATGTTTAGGTTACATATATTGCCTTGTCCCCGCCCCGCAGCCCCCTGAGTCAGAGCTTCAAGTATGTCTATAATTTTTAAAAATATATAATCTACAATAACAGCAACAAATCAAGAAAGGAGGCAGATACCTAGGAATATATCTAACAAAATGTAGGCAAGACTTACGAAAAAATTCTGAAACATCATTGAAAGGTTACAAAGGACCTAAATAAATGGAAAGATGAACATGTTTACTGGCAAGAACACTAAGTATTATAAAAAATGCAAATTCTTCCCCAAATTAGTTTATAAATTCACTGCAATTCCTATCAAACTCCTAGAAGGGTTTCTCAGTGGAGCGTGACATGCTGACCCTGAAATGTGCTAGAACTGCCACGGGTCAGGAATAGAACAAGGTGGAGAGGTAACTTCATACCAAAAAGTATTAAAGCTCCAATAATGAAAGCCATCAGTATGATATGGGACTAAACCAGCAGAACAATGATTTAGGCTGCAGAACCCAGAAACCAACCCCTGCATCTAGGGAAACTTGACAAATGACAGGCGTGGCATTTCAAATCCGTGGGAGAGGATGGACTATTTAATAAATGGTCTGGGACAACTGGATATACATTTGGAAAAAATATAATTGGTTCCCTATATCACACTGTATACAAAAATAAATTCCATGTGGATGAAAGATCTAAGTGTGAAAAACAAAACTTTTAGAAGAAAACAGAGGAGACTACCTTTATGACCTGAGAGTAGGAAGAATTTCATAAACAAAAATTTGGGGGCCGGGTGCACTGGCTCACGCCTGTAACCCTAGCACTCTGGGAGGCCGAGGTGGGTGGATTATTTGAGCTCAGGAGTTCAAAACCAGCCTGAGCAAGATTGAGACTCCGTCTCTACTAAAAATAGAAAGAAATTAATTGGACAGCTAAAGATGTAGTCCCAGCTACTGGGGAGGCTGAGGCAGAAGGATCGCTTGAGCTCAGGAGTTTGAGGTTGCTGTGAGCTAGGCTGACGCCACAGCACTCTAGCCTAGGCAACAGAGCAAGACTCTATCTCAAAAAAAAAAAAAAAAAAAAAGGTGGCTCACTCCTATAATCCTAGCAGTCTGGGAGGCCGTGGTGGGCGGATCCCTCAAGGTCAGGAGTAAGAAACCAGCCTGAGCAAGAGCAAGACCCCCGTCTCTACTATAAATAGAAAGAAATTAATTGGCCAACTAATATATATAGAAAAAATTAGCCGGGCATGGTGGCACATGCCTGTAGTCCCAGCTACTCGGGAGGCTGAGGCAGTAGGATTGCTTGAGCCCAGGAGTTTGAGGTTGCTGTGAGCTAGGCTGATGCCAGGGCACTCACTCTAGCCTGGGCAACAAAAAAAGACTCTGTCTCAAAAAAAAAAAAGGAAAACTTCTGTTCAACCAAAGACAGCATAAGCAAAATGAAATAAGAAGCCACAAACTTAAAAAAGATAATTGCAAAGCATATAACTTGTGGAAGATTAGTGTCTAGAATATATAAAGAATTTCTACAAATCAATAAGAAAAAGACAAAATGCCTCATTATAAATTGGTCAATGTATATGCACAGATAATTCTTGGAAGAAGTCTGAATGTTCAACAAGTATTTAAAAATATTCAACATCACTACTTATCAGGGAAATATAAAACACCAATGAGATGCCATTTCACATGTATCAGATTGACAACATTTAGAAATTCTGACATTATCAAAAGTTAGGAAGAATGTGGAGTAATGAGGAATAAAAAGAAAAAAAACACTAGGAATGAATGTTCATCAACAAAAAAGCAGATAAATCAGGGTATATTCATTCAATCAAATATTACATAGCTAGTAAAAGCCAAATGCACTATGGTTAAATTTCACAAGTATTTTAGCTCAGAAAAAAGTCTAAGAACACTGTATACAGAATAACATAATTTATATAAAACTTTAAAATCTACAAAGTATTACTTCCATTTGTTCAGGGTCATAGACACATGTAGTAAGAGCATAAAAATATACGTAGGGATGTAAAACACCAGTTTTTAAAGTAGGTTACTTGTAAAGAGAGGAGAGGAATGGGATGAGGGAAGAGATACACACAGGAGACTTCAAATTACCTGTTATATTCTATTCTGTTAAAAAAAATATCTGAAGCAAATGCAGCAAAGTACAAACATTTTATAAAGCTTGTTGAGGTGTCCAAAGTTGTCCTACATGCTTTTGTGAATGTTTGAAGTCAATGGCCAAGAAGTTTGGGAGCGATGTCATAGTTGGAGGAGACACCAAAATGTAAACCCCATGGAAATGTGTACTTGTTTTATCCACTGCTCTGTCCCTCCACTTGGAAGAGTGCCTGGTACAAAGTAGGTACTAAACAAATACTTGCTGATTGAGTGAGCATGTGCAAAGGCACTGAGAAACGTAACAGCTAACTTCCATTGAGCCCCATATGCACCAGCCACTGCCTTAACTATTGGACATGGATTATCTCATTTTTTCCTTGCAACAATGTACAGACTATTATAACCCTCATGCTATAGGTGGGGGAAAACAGGCTTAGAGAGCTAGCTAGCTGCCTGAGAGCGTAGTGGTTAGAATTAGAGTCCATAGTCTATCAAAAAAGTCTGGATTTTATGCTGTAAATCATTTAAAATTTGGCAGTGGAAACAATGTCTAGTTAAACTGTGGTTGAGACAAGGTCTGGCCAAGGAGCTTACAGTGCAGGAGGCACATTAAACAGATACCTAGAGTGACACTCCGGACTGAAAGGTGACCAGGGCCAATGCAGGTGTGTGCCCAGTGCTCCCAGAGGGGAGGACGCAGCAGGGAACACTTGAGTATGCTGGGCAAGTGGGGAAGGCTCTACCAAGGAGGAGGCATTTGAACTTGGCCTTGAAGGAAAAGTGTACCTGCAGATGCCAGGATCCAGTGCTTTCTGCTCCACATCCAAGAGGTGCTGTTGGGAGGACCCACTGCTCTGGACAGCGAGCACAAAGCCGACCACACAGGGCTGAGACCACCCACAGGTGAAGACAGACTGATTTGGATGTACCTCCAGTTTAAGAAAATTTGCACTTACCTTTACACACAGACAAAAAATCAACTCAAAGCTCTTTAGAAATCATGATGCCAGCAACAATCATTCATCCTTTAAGAATATTATTAATACCTAACATTTATTAAGCATGTACTATATACAGGACATGGGGCTAAGTCATTTGCTTTATTGTCTTTATTTTTCACAACTCTATGAGGCAGGTACTGTTTTCTCCCTTTTCAGAGTGAGGAAACCCAGGCTTAGAGAATGTATGTAGGTGTCTTGCCCACGGTCCTACGCAGTTAGTAAGTAGTGAAGCTGGGATTGAACCCACAGTTGTCAACTCTCCAGCCCATATTTTAGCCACTGCCTCTCACAAGCACAGACATCCAGTTACACCAACAAAGGTTTTAGTGCTTTCAATTGGAAGAATGAATGTGGAGTGTTATGAGCTAAACTAGAACCAAGCTTATCATTACATTCATGAACACCTGTCATATGTTAGGTGCTCTGTAAATGCTTGCAAAATGAGGTGGCATTGAGTTCCAGGAAATGAAAAACAACTCAGTTTCCAAATGACATGTTTCGCTGATGTAAAGCAAGTGGAAACTCATGGGAGGCTCCCAGAACATCTGGGCACAACTGAGCTTGGAGGGAAGGCTCCGTGTTCTCTGTGTCTCAGCAGGGGCCACCCCGGAAATACTCCTGAATGAATGAAGCCCCCCAGCTCCCAAACAGCCCACAGGGCAGGGATACGTGAAGGGAAGAAAGCAGGGCAAGGGCAAGAATGGGAAGATTTCTACTTTTCAAATAAAAGTAGATACAGAGAACAATCAACCCGCCCCCACCCCCAAAACCATCATCGCTTGGACACGTGCGTTGGTTTGATCCATTCATTCATTTCACAAGCTGCTACCGGACACTCTGTGCGGGAGTCCTGACCCGCCGGAGTCGTGCCCTACTCAGTAAACGCCGAAGAGCCCTCCGTCCACCTGACGCCCAGCCAGGCCAGTGGGGTAAGGACGGGCCGCACGCAATCTGAGGTCCTCCAGGACAGCACGATAGACAGGCGGGCACAGAGGCAGGTCAGCAATCACAATTTACAAATGTAAAGGTCACTCTGAGCAGAAGAAGGAGGGGGAGAAAGGGAGGGGAGAAGAGGAAGAGGAAAACAGCAGCAGCCTATCTGGTTTCCTCGGAGCCACATCTGACAATGCTCTGGTCACGTTTTAATTAATTACAAGGTTTTCCTATTGACTCAAACAAGAGCTCTCTCTCTCTGATTAATTTTCGAAAGAGCCGGCCGATTTTAAACATAGCAAACACAATGACCCCGGTTATTATGGCCTGAGCGGCTAAAAGCAGAAAATAAAGACCCCAGAACAGCCTGTGGTCTTGACGTTTGACCGTGGCCACCAGCTGCGCCCACGCCCAGGGCTCTGGGCTGCCAGACACCCGGACAGGGTGGCCGGGGGCTGCCGGGGCGTCGTGCGCGGGAGTGTGCGGAGACCGGCCCCGGGGGTCCGAGCAGTCGGCGTCGCTCCCCGGCAGGGCCCAGAGCGGCAGGCCGGCGCGCGGTCCAGGGCCGCCGCACCGCGGGGGCTCGGCTCGGCCCACGAGGTCTAAGTGCTGCCGCAGCCAGCCCAGGAATGGCCACAGGCCACAGTCGCAGCGCCAGGGATTGTGCCCCAGCAGGACCTCGGTCAGCTGAGGCAGACCCGCGAACACGTCGCCAGGCAGGGTCTCCAGCAGGTTGTGGTCGAGCTGGACCTTCTCCAGGCTGCTGAGGTTGGAGAAGAGCGCGCGCGGCAGGGCCCGCAGCCTGTTGTGGCGCAGCGACACCTGGCGCAGCCTGCCGAGGCCGCGCAGCAGGCCGTCGGGGAGCGCGGCCAGGCCGTTGGCGTGCAGGGCGAGCACCCGGAGCTCCGCCAGGCCCCGCAGGGCGCCCGGGGGCAGCGCGCTCAGCCGCGGGCTCAGAGTGACCCCCAGCGTGCGCAGGCCGCTCAGGTTGCGGAAGGCGGCGGCCGGCAGGGTGCGCAGCCGGGTGCCGTTCAGCCACAGCTCGTGCAGGCCGGCCATCTCCCCGAAGAGCACCTCCGGGAGCTCTTCCAGCGGGTTCTCGAACAAAGTCAGCAGAGTCAAATTGTGCGAATGAAGAAAGAGCCCGGAGGGCAGAAACTCGAGGTGGTTTCTGGAAAGAGTCAAAGAACGCAGGCCTGGGAGCTGGTCGACTGCTCCGGGCGCGATGGAACGGATGTGATTTCTGTGGAGCTGCAGCTCCGTCAGGGCGCCCAGGCTGCTCAACTGCCCCGAATCCAGAGACACTATCTGGTTCGAGTGCAGCAGAAGTTTCTCAAGCTTAGCCTGCGTCCCAAGCAATCCCTTGGGCAGGTGGGTCAAGTTGTTTCCCGATAAATCCAACACTTTCAGGTTCTCCAGATTTGTAAACAGCCGCGAAGGAAGGAAATTGAGTTGATTCTGGTTCAAAAAGAGCTCCTGCAAGTTAACCAGTTTCTGAAACATGTTTTGGTCAATGCCGGTTAGCGCGTTGTGGTCCAAAAACAACTGTTCCAGGAGCACCATCTTATCGAGTAGTGCACCTGGAAGATGAGTAATTTTGTTGTTCGACAACCTGAGGGTTTTTAGCTTTATCAGGTCATTGAAGGTGCCGGGGGCAATGGCGGAAATGTGGCTGTCCGAGAGTAGCAGGCGCTGCAGGACGGTCATGCCACTGAAGCTGTGGTTCTGCAAGGCGCCGCGGCCCATTCGGAAGAGCAGGACGTGCGTGAGGTTGGTGGGCAGGCCCAGCGCCGAGATGCGCGCCACGTTGCCCCCAGAGCACTGCACCGAGTCGCGGAAGAAACACCTGCAGCCTTGCGGGCAGGGGAAGGGCTGGGCGCGCAGGAGCCCCAGCACCGCGCACAGCAGGGTCCTCCTCAGCATGTCTGAAAAGGCAAGGTGGGAAGTCGGTGGTCAACACAGGAGGTGTTTAGGCCCATATTGAATCCCGTAACCTTGAACATTTTGCAGAGCCACAGTACTTTCGCCAAGAGTCTCACTCCATCTTTTCTTAGGAGTGCGGATTTCCCTGGGTGGTGAAAAGACGGACATTCATTCTACACGGTGAGGTTTCATTCTTTTGTTTAATTGATTTTCTACTCACGGTTTCAAGCATTGAAATAAAAGTGTTTTCAAGCTACCGAACAGCCGATACTTTAAGATCTTTACCTGGATTAAAATGGTTATTAAAATGATCATTCTCACATTCAAAGCGTGAAGACATTACAAAGCAGTGCCCATTGTGAATAGAGCTCTGCTCTTGACTTTATAATTTACCCTGGGTCGGCTATGACCAACAGTCATGAAGGGGATGGCAGAGTCTGCAACCACCACCATCTAATTCTTTTTCTCACAATCATGCTATTTCTGCAGTACCAACTTGCTCTACTAAAATAATGAACACCTCACTCAAACCAGGGAACACCTTCATTAACAGCCAAGCCACGAAAAGCAGGTAACAATAATACCAATCACTTTATGCTATGTAGCGTTTGCAGTGCTTTATTTATTTACACTGTATTCATGTAATCCTTACAATAGCTGGATGAGGTAGGTATTATTATTATCCCCAATTCAAGGATGAAGACACAAAGGCACTGAAAGGTTAAGTAATTTAACTAGGGTCACATAGTTAGAACATGAAGGTAGCATTTCTGAATTAACCATAAATAAGGAGCTACCATTTCTAAAATGCTTAATAAAAATTAATACTCATGGCATTGAATTATCAGTGAAATGCACACAATACGAATCTGCCAAAACAATGTTTCCCAAATGAAATTTTACACAAATTGTTTCATATACCAAATTTTATTTCTTCCACATACATAGAGTTACTGAGCCCTCTAATTTCCTACACTAATTAAAAAAATATTTGGCCTTACCTGAAATGGTTCTGCACCCCAAAGCAACTGAAAGGCTTAGAGCTTTGCATGTGATTCCGCACATTCCAAAGGAAGGGGGAGGTATCCTTGCATCCTGAAGATAAAGACTACCAGAATAAGTCAGGGAAAGGACCCTATCTCAGAGGGCATGTTCTGGTCTTTAATGACAAGTATCTTCAAATTGAAAAGGACACCATATATAACCTCAGTACTACTCTTGAGGCTGACTGATAACAGCAAGAGGGAAAGAAGTTTTTTTCAAAAATGGCACAATATGACTCTGCGATGCTAGAAAAGTTTAGTGATACAGTCGGACCATTGCAGTAGCCACACTACTAGATGGGCCACACTTTTTTTGCGTCCTTTTCATGCTACATGGTTCCAATCAATTCTCCACTCAGTTTTTGGTAGGTTTTTAAAAATTCCTTTCTCCATTTAGGAATAAGGCTAAAAACATTATCAAATGTTCCACTCACTTTTTTTTCTTTTTAGGAATAAGGCTAAAAACATTCTTGAAAATGTTCAATAACGGCATTGCTGGGTTGAAGGGTGTTCACATGTTTAATTGAACTTGGGAATGTCAACCTGCTTTCTGAAGTGGTTGTACTGATAGGCACTGCCACCTACCACGAGAGTTCCTGTGCTTCGTGTCTCTGCCCACACTGGGTACTTTCTAAATTTAATTTTTGCCATTCATATAACTATCTCAGTATGGTTCTAACTTTTTATTTCCCTGTTTAATGATGAACTTGAGCACCCTTTCATACAATTAAAGGCCTCCTGTGCTTCATCTGAGAAATTTGGGTTTCCTTTTGCCTATTTTTGCATATGCAAAACATGTCTTTAACAACTGTATTGTGGACATTCTTTGATAATACTGCCTACAAAGACTTCCATCAGAAGATACCAGAAAAAAGGCGAAAAGACAAACCAAGTGAATATATTGGTAACACCTGTAACTGACAAGGGATTAATACCCAGAATATATAAAGAATGCCCACATCATGGAATCTAATCAGCCTTTGATGTAATTGTTGCCAAATGCAGAGCCCAGTAAATGCTGAACTGACTGAAATTGTCTTCTAAGTCATGCAGGCCTAGACCACAGGGAAGAGCCACTGCCTCTCACCAAGGGAAGCAACTCCAGAGCCATGCATGGGCACATCAAGTGAAAGTGGCCCTACCCATGAAAAGGCCAGGGAGCCAACAGGACAGCCTGGGAAGGCAAGTTGTGAAATAGTATGAGAGCGAGTCAAATTCCAGTGAAGCTTCTTCAGCCTGTTTTCCCCAGGAAGACCTCCAGTAAGAATGGCCTCCAAGCTCTGTCCTCTGAGGAGAGCAAGACCTTCTGATTGCCCAGGAAGGCAGGAGTGGGTATGGAAGTCCCAGGCAGTGGGAAACACTCTTCACCCATCCATTGAGCAAGTTGATTAGGTAATGAAAAGCATCTGGTGCAGTGACAGCTCCAGCGTTTCCAGTCTTTTGGATTTCGGGATCCATTCAACAGGTCAGACAGAATCCAAGCTATCCTGAAACATGTGTCTAGGTAAAGAAAAAAAATTAATAAAATAAGTAAAATTTATTAAAAATAAATAAAAAATAAGCAGGTCAGAAATCTGATGTCCCAAGTGGCAGCTACTGTATAGTCAGACAGCCCTGACCTAAGGGGTTTGGCCATTCAGTAGCAGGTGTCTGCCTGCATATTTTTTTCTTCCATGGGGAGACTCAGAGGCCAGGGCACAGCAGAGATCTCTGCATTTACCAAGTAACCACAACTCCAACTTGGACTAGGGACAGCTTCATGCAAGTTTCTAGGACTCCCAGGACTCCCTCAGTCCTTCCCTGCAATATGCACTCAGAATACAGCACTTGACAGTGATGTAGGGAAAGGAAGAGAAACACGCAGAACTATGCCCACACCAGCAGGCTGTGGAGACATGATCATATGCTGCACAAACCAGTGACTGGAAAGAACTTGGGCTCAAACTGGGCCTTCACCCACCCAACCCATCACACCACACCACACCACAGCCAGCCACATACTCCCTAGCATAGGTTGCATGTCTCATGGAGAACCTAGGATACATGAAAATTCCCACCCAAACACAAAAGCCCAACAAAAGTCCTCCTATCTTCTGGGATTTCTACAACCATTTTCTCTCCAGATCCTCTCCTCTCCCTGGAGTGTTCGTTTGCACCCACAATTGCCACTTCACTTCAAACTTACCACATCTTATGTGGTATTAGCTTTTTGGTTTGATCCTCCCAACTATTAAGAAAGTCCTTAGTCTTATATTTCAATATTTCTCGTAGACCTCCTGATATTCAACATTTGGCTCTACACTGCATCTGACTAATGGAATTCCTAGGATGGTCACAAACAGGGCATGTGGAATGCTGTACTTATTTCCTTTAAAAGTCCAAAATTAAAGAAGAGGAAAGGAAAGAAAAGGAAGGAGAAAAAAGAAAAAGAAAAAAAGAAAAGGAAAGAAGGAAGGAAGGAAGGAAGGAAGGAAGGAAGGAAGGAAGGAAGGAAGGAAGGAAGGAAGGAAGGAAGGAAGGAAGGAAGGAAGGAAGGAAGGAGAGAGAGACAGGGAAGAGGGAGGAAGAGAGAGGAAGGGAGAGAAGAAAAAAGGAAAAGAAAGGAAGAAAGAAAGAAAAAAGGAAATGGGGAAGTACTAAAGCAGGAAAGTAAATCCAGAGAGGGCATATTCATGTAACTTTTAAAAAGCAAACAAAGGTATAAAAACACAGAAGAGTCAAGTGTTATTCATTCATTTAAATTTTTATTTTGAATAGCTTCAATCAAAAAGATTTCATAAGGTTATTTACAATGCTGAATGTACAATTATGAATGTATGCCTTTTTGACAACAGGGTACCATTCTTGAGCAGCAATTCAATTTTAAAAATATAAAGATGCAGTATCATTTCTGATATAAAGTTACTTAAAAAAATCTAAGGTCTTAGGGAATTCACAAATCATAACAGAAAGTAACTACTTTATTAATTTAATGTACACATAATTACCAAATTTTAATACATTAAAAATAAGTGTAAATGCCCACAGACTGTACAAAAATTAACACCCCGTTTTGTTAAAAGTTCCCAACCACCTCCCACCATAAATATACAAAAACCTATTTTTAGATATGCCAAAATTGCATGCATGAAATATTAGAATGTTTTCTAAAGCTTGAATTTTCCTCTTTGCAGGATGTTATCTATAGCTGTTTTTGGAACAGACTACATAAACATCAATATATTATTTACCATGCCTTTGAAACTGTGCAGTAATTTCATAAACATGGGAAACAAAATAAATAGAGTAAAAACTGCAACAGTTTTGTTTAAATGCAAGTGCAATTTGGAAAGCTTTCGAATTTAAGGATTATAAAACTACTATAAAAAGTATTTTTTTTTGTTGGCTTAGCCACTTTTATTCAAGCATTATTTGCAGCATTGCTTTACAGCAGTTGGTGCTCAAAGATACAAAACATATAGTTACCACTATTTATACTTGAGGGAGAAACAAAAACTTTAAACAACCCTGAGGGAGACACACATTAAAAATCTTGTTATTTATTTAAAAAGTTAAAAAGTTACATATCATTATTTAACAATTACTTTCCCAGACATTTCTGTCCTTTAAGTATGTGCATAAATAAAATTTAAATCAGCAATATTTATTCATCTTAATACATCAAAATAATATATGTACAGATTTTAAAATTTAGGTCTGTATAAACTCAAATAATTTAATGTGAAATTCGGACTCAAACTTACTATGTAATGGTGACCTACAGAAAGGACTCAGTCTACCTATGGCACTGAGTAGGACCCACACCTGGATTCACATTCTTCAAATAACATTCTCAACCTGAATAACCCACCTTTCTATGTTCAAATTTTCCTACAAATGCTTTTCTGCCTACCTACAAGCCTCATTCTTTTGAAAACAATATGGACAGATGAGATATAAAACCCTTATTAACTTTAAATTGTAAAAAAGGAGAGGTGCCAAAAATAGCTCTTTATGATCATGCTGTTAAAGATGTTAAATATAATCTGATAATTGGAATTTTAAGCTGCTACTTAGCAATTTCTTTAATTATATGCCTCAGTATTTAAACCCAAGAATAAAATTTACAGTTATGGAAATCACTAAAGAATAACACTTGAGCATATTTAAAATGAATATGGAATTATAAAATGATCAAGTGAACAAGTAACTCTAGAAAACAGTGCTAATTCACAGCTCAAGAGGTCTAAAATGCATAGCTTCATAGAACCATTCATGGAACAATTGTTCTTATCATCTAATGTGTATTATATCATATTATACATTTTGGTGGAAAACTTCAATTACATTTTTGTAAGAATCATCAGTGGCAATAGTAATAACAGTGATCCTGAGTGTAACTTACATTTCTCTACAGTTACCAATCATCATTCAGGTTTTTGCAGCATAAAGAATGAGAACCATTTATTTGGCCCTACAATTCTGGGTAAAATTTGGTAAACTGGTAAATATATGCTGGGAAAATAATGATCAGCTAGCAGTAGAAAGAACAAGCACACTACTGATTAAGTCAGAACATAGGATAATGTCACATTGTTTAAAGAGTTTAGTGTACAAGTCACAGCAATATCAACTGCTGGAGCCTACCTATAAAGGCATTTAAAAAGTTACTTTTATTTTATTTAGAATTTAAACATTACTCATGCAAAACAGAAAGGTGAAAAATGTTTTCCACATTTCTTCTGGCTTAATGAATATCTGTTTTTCAACTTTATTTCCTCCATTTTTTCTCCTAGAAATTTCCACACCAAATACACTCATTTGTCACTCTCGAATTCAAAATAGGTATGCTCTGACCTCTGGCGCCACCTAATGGCATAAAACAAACTCTTCCCAAGTTCATATTGCTTTAAGAAACAGCAGTCATTCAAATCCAGTCTTTTTCAAGCCTCATTATTGACAGGAGAGACATAGACCAAACCTCAAAAAATCTTATGAGGTAAATTTCTAACTTAAAGAAACCCTTACTATTATCCTATGTCTTTGGGTAATTAAAAATGTAGAAGTAGAAAATAAAAAGACATTTAAAATAACACAAAGCCTGAAGGGGGAAAAAACAGGTTTGGGAGATATTAAAAAGATAGATTGACATCTACTGCCAAAAGAAATAATCTCTTTTCCTAGTGAACAATTCTACAACAGTTAATTGAAGCAAATTAGACTACTGACACCACACATAGCACAAGATCCATTTAATAGGTTTGAGGGATATCTCAAGAAGGCAGTGAAGCACCTTGCCGATTAGAAAAATAAAACCCAGGCGGTTTGTACAGAAAATATAAAACCATATATGGAAATTACCTGAGTTGTTCTATAAGCAACACCATACAAACTCACTCCTAACTCTAGACCATTGAAGGGAACTGGTGTATGTTTATATAGAATTCTTTGGAAGAAATATTAGAATCAAATGAAAATAGGCATTCAATCTGTTTCACTGGAGGCTGACAAATTTTATCAATCACAAATTTAGGGCCTCTATATAAACACAGATCTTTTCCAATAAGGGGGTTGTGAAAATAAATTTAAAGGGATAAACTAGTCTCAGAAGCTAATGTCTAAAAAACTACCTACCAAACACCAAATTTCTCCTGTGCCCAATGTAAAGAAAGTAACAATCAAGAAAATTCTGGAAATGTATATAACAGATTACTGAATGAAGATATAGAACTTTACTTACAGATTGTTAATTTAACTGTCAGGCCAATACCTTTTTTTTGTTTTGTTTTGTTTTGTTTTGTTTTAAGGGAAAAAAACAACAACAAAGTTCTCGATTCAGCGACTATATCAGAAGGGACAGAAACTGAAATTGTGCCATTCTGACAAACAGGATCAGAAAATCATAAAACCACATTCTCCTGAATACTGCTATTAGCATGCCACTGAGACTGATTCATTGCTATATGCTATGTTATGGTGATGATTTGGCATGATCCATTCTCCTTAACTAAAGCTTTAGCTTCTGTTGTTGTCTGAGGTTTTGGTGGCCATTCTGGATCGACCAAGAGCTCCTGTGCCAGATACATGTACTTGGCCTTTGGTATCTTCTTTCTACAGCGCAGGGCCCAGGACAAGCAGCATTTTCCCCACCGATCCACTGATGCCTAAGAAAATAAAGAACAACAATTAAGAGCTCGTTTTTTTAACAGGTTATGAAAGCATACATTAGCACAGAAAATGACTTCTAAACACAACACATGAATGGGAAAAATTCAAGTTAAAAAAAAGGCAGCTTTCCAATATTTAGGTACTGATTATTTTTTTAGATTTTTGGTTTATCCATGGAATTTACTTCATTTTATATAGTTTTATGTACCTATCCTCTTGTGTACTGATAAACTTTTTAAATAACTTGAAGATCTGGATTTTATAACATAAAATATCTAATGTATTTAGAATAACTTTATTCAGAAAGAGAAAACATTTTTAATATTTAATTTGGAAGCCCTCCTATATTTTATCCCAAACTATCTTTTGGTATTATTGCTCCTAGTAACTTAGCCACCTGATCATTTTGGAAAGAAAGCATTATAAAATATCCTTGTTGCTCTTAATATCTTTCAAAGCATGATGTGAATATTGTAAGGTCAAAATTAGGACTTAAATCATGTTTAAAAGTCACTCAAGGCCGGGCGCTGTGGCTCACGCCTGTAATCCTAGCTCTTGGGAGGCCGGGCGGCGATCTGCACAAGTCAGAGTTCAAAACCTGCAAGAGCGAGACCCCGTCTCTACATAAATAGAAAGATTAATGGCCAACTGATATATATATAAAAAATTAGCCGGGCATGGTGGCACATCCTATAGTCCAGCACTCGGAGCTGAGCAGAAGGATCACTCGAGCCCAGGAGTTGAGTTGCTGTGACTAGGCTGACGCCACGGCACTCACTCTAGCCTGGACAACAAAGAGACTCTGTCTCAAAAAAAAAAAAAAAAGTCACTCATAGGCCGGGCGCGGTGGCTCACGCCTGTAATCCTAGCACTCTGGGAGGCAGAGGCAGACGGATTGCTCGAGGTCAGGAGTTCGAAACCAGCCTGAGCAAGAGCGAGACCCCAGTCTCTACTATAAATAGAAAGGAAAATGCAAACTAATAATATAGAAAAAATTAGCCGGGCATGGTGCGCAGCCGTAGTCCCCAGCTACTCAGGAGCTGAGGCAACAGGATGCCTGAGCCCAGGAGATTGAGGTTTGGAGCTAGGCTGACACCATGGCACTCACTCTAGCCTGGGCAACAAAGTGAAGACTCTGTCTCAAAAAAATAAAAATAAAAAAAATAAAAGTCAATCATGTCGGCCAGGCTCGGTGGCTCATGCCTGTAATCCTAAACACTATGGGAGG